TGCATATACAGTCACTTAAATGCAGATTTTAAAAAAAAGGTTTACTGGAATGCCCTGCAGTAAAAGTTTCTCCTTCAGATACTTAAACTTCGGTTCTAAATCCATAGAACCGTAGAGCTTTATAACAAAGTGAATAAGATTTTGAGACAAAACAGATGCTTAAAATCAAAGAAATAAATACTGATTTTGTGAGAATTAGATAGAAAACACATTGGTTTGGAAATCCAAAGATATGTTACATTTGGCATAGTTAATTAAGTTGAATAAATTTTCCATACTAATGTTTCCTTTTGTAATGTTCCACTACAAAGACAGAAATGGAGATAGTTTTAATTTTATTTATGGCAAGATTATAATTTGAGTTTTGAGGCTATAGTGAATTAAAAAAAACTAATGATTTTAATTAACACTTTATAATAGGCCATTACAATGCTTCAGTTCTAGAATCCATTACCAGTTTAATTTCAAGCTAATTAGTTTAGAGATTATATTACAGTAAAAAAAAATAATGATAGAGTCATTATACATGATTCACTTTGCCTATATTTTGTGCTCAGGTGAATGAGGAGGATTTAGGGGAATGAGAAAGTATTATATAAACATTTCATGGAAAACCTTAGCTTATTGGATTTTATGTGATATTTTTATAGAGGCTAAGGTATGAATGAAGAACAGAAAACCATTTATGTAATTAAGAAACAAGAAAAGTTTCACTGTTGCATTCATAAATAATAAAATAGTGGGCTCTTTTTCTTTCTGCCAAAATATTCATCAACAATTATTGTTTTTTAATTCTGCTTAGAATACATGCAATATCATTTTGGAAAAGAAGATAATCTTTATAAACATCTTTACCATTACAACTGTTCTAGCCTGCCGGCGGCCAGCAAAGTTGGCAGCAGAGTCAGACAGTGAGGATGTTGGGGAGGAACATGGGCCAGTCCTGGGGGCTGGGGAAAGCTCAGATGGGGGCTCTGCATTGGAGAGGGAGATAGACAGCAGTGAAGCAGACGAACAGCTGGAGCCCGTTCCCAGCGTGCACCTGCGCAGAGCTGCCAGAAGACAAGAACAATTCAGAAGGCAGGGTTGATTTGGGAGTAAAGCAACACCTTGGAGATGATTGGCCCCTCCCATAGGAAACAAAAGAGGAGCGAACCGGGAGAGGGCTTTTGCAGGAAACAATTCATTCATTTGGTAGTTTCAAGAGTAAAAAGTTCTGTTTGTGACTCTAAGAGATTCTGTGCCAAGTTTTGCCTTGACTCTGTGTTTGGAGACAAGTTACGTGGCAGCTTGCCAAGCGAGATAAGGTGTGTTGAGAAATATTCCTTTGAAAAATTGTTTGGACAAACCCTGCTGACTGTGAATGAAAGTAATTCACAGCCATGTAAATAAAAGATAGGGTTGCCAGGTCTGCTTCCAAAAAATAGCGGACAAGCGGGGGGGAGGGGGGTTTAAGTAGTAAAAAAATAAAAAAAAATTACAATTAAATTATATATTTTCTTACAAACATTTTAACACGTATTAAAATAATCACTTCAAAAACTTTACTTAAAATTCAAAACATCAAATATATTATAATAATATGTAAAATATTAAATTACATTTTACTTTGCTGCCATGTGTATTTTTTATTTGACTGTGCAACTTTGATCAATTCTTTGTGTTTAAGGAATAATTCTTTAATTTCAGTACAACGTTGAGAAATATTAAAAAATATACAAAGTTCACTTCGAACTGATACAAGCTGTCGGTTACGTTCGTCAGTCCACAAATTTCCCATGGCACTGAAAATTCGTTCAACGTTTGCATTTGATATTGGAATTGATGCACAATACTGGAACAGTTTCAGTAAACTCGGAGCTGGCTCTTTCTTGAAAAAGTACGTCCACTTATCAAAGGATGAATCGCCCTGCAGATGAACATAAGCTTCTTCTAAGGCAGAAATTTCATCGAAGAGAGTGTTGGGTGGAAGTTCTTCTCGCCATGGTGATAATAACCAGATGTTCGTCATTTCTTCTAAAGCTGGGGGATTATTGCGATCAATTAGATTGAAACAACTTAGCATCTCATATACTGAATCGGTGAAATTATACCACTTTTCTAGGTAGGCAATGGCTCTTTGATACACGTTGATGGCTTCTTTCTTGAACTTTTGCACGGCATTCTCAGGCAAATGTTTTTTACGTAAGGCAAATAAAACTTTCATTCCAAAAAACTGCTCATCGTATTTTTTTGCAAAGAATCACGCAACTTACACATGATAATGTGAAGATCACATGCAAGAATTTTCTTGCTTTCCAGTTTCAGTAGGGTGTCTTGCATTATTGACATGAAGAAGTGCGTGAAATATAAATACAATTCTGAAATTGTTGGTTCATCATCCTTTGCGAGTTCATTTTCCTGATCCAAAATAAGGTTCCAGATAACCTTATGGCACTCATCAGATCCAAGAAAAATAAAATACGATTTTAGAGGTATCCAGTTTAAAAGAAATCTTTCGACTGCTTTAAACAAACTTAACCAACGTGTTGGAACATGGCGCAAAACTTCATGGAATTCTGACTCGCAAAACTCAAAAAATGATTTCAACTCTTCTCGTTTCTTCGCAGAATTCGAAAATTCGGCAAAAACCTTCAGCACTACATTTTCGATATCAAAAGATAACTGCTTTAATGCATTTTTTGCACTGTTGTGTAAAATATGATTATTGCAATGAGCATTCGATCTTTGTCTCATTCTAACTTATGAAAAAAAAGACAAAACGCGATTCTCCTATCCTTATTCTCTTAGACTATACAGCTTTAGATTAAGTACCATTTCATCATAAAGCTTTTGAATAAAAAAAATGTCCACTATTTTGTGAAAAAAAATAGTGAACATAATGTGAAAAAAGTGGACTGTCCGCTCAAATAGTGGACACCTGGCAACCTTAATAAAAGAGATTTTGCCAGGATCAATTCCTGCTTCCTGCTTTTTGAGGGAGCCTAGGTCAGAACAACAACTACCATTCGGCTATTGGATCAATATTACTTGTTACATAATATATCCACAAAATATGAATTTTGCACCATCTGTGTATTTGTGTTATAACAGAAATCCACATGGCACAAACTACTAGGAGTTCAGTATGTTAGGTTACTTATTACCATGCTTATTGTCAGCTAAATTTTGAGTAGTGATTCCCCTATAGTCATACAATTGAAATCTCTATCACGTTAATTAAGAAACTGATTACACTATGGATTTTAGCATCTAGAGTGGTAAAATAAAATTCTGGGGTTATAATATATTCGCAAAATGTATTCACTCTTAGCTAATAATTCTAATATTTATGGATTTAAACATTCCAGACTAGAGATTCCTATTAAAAGAAAAACTTTGAGTTTTTTCTTAAAATCATGCACAAAGGGACATGTATTTTATGGCATGTATTGCCATACATGCAAAATTGCTTTGTTGATTTCGCAGGATATTTTTACATTTTAAGAGGAGAAAAATGTAATTGATTGTTTGAGCCAAAAGGACTATTTTTAAATTAGAGTGGGAGAAAGAAGAAAAAGTAACAAGTACAAAAAGAAAAAAAGGCTAATAAGAAAGGTAGAAAAAAGGGATTAACTCTTTTGATTGATATGACTCATGTAACTAATTATCTTCAAAATGGCTATATATAAGGAGTGTTTTCCATTATTTGCTTTCATCCATCAATCTTCTTACAGGTACACTGTAAGCCAAGTACACTGAAACATTCATACAGAAAATTCATGGACTGGTTTACATTTTAATCATTCAATAATTAAACAAAAATTAATCTGCATAGATCTGTTGCCTTCAATAACAAAACAGGACAATCTGTATCTAGAAAAGTTTCCTAGGTCCAAAAAAGTGTCTGAAAAAACATTAAACTTGTAGAGTAGCACATAATCTGACACTGCATAATTAGAAATCAAGCATTTCTGTAAAGATGCGCAAATTATATCTCCCTAAGGTACAAATTAGCTTGAGCCAAATAGATCAACAGCTGCATGATAGAAATAGATAGCTATTTCCCTGTGAGCATGCTTAAAAGATCTACTCTTTAAGGTAAGGTTCACATACCTTATTTGCATCCACTCGCACATTTCCCCTCATACTAAGATACATCACTCCACACTGCCATTAGGATTTTAAAACATTCTGTTTCCTCCAATAGGAACCTTATTAAAAGGCTCATTGGCACAATGACATAAATGCTGCTCCTCAGAAACGGGGCAGATCTTGGATTTAAAACTGTGCAAAGAAATTTCCCAGTGTTCTCTACAAGCCATAAAATATTAGATCATTTAATATTTGCCTAGGTATTTTTATTTATGTGTCTTCAGTGTTTTAAGATATAAAAAGCAAGGAATACATTATTCAGGCTTTCCTTTCTATGACATAAAACTCTTATGAGATATCTGTTTTCCAAATAATCAGATGCCTTAAATTTATTTGCTATGCAAAGTGAATTAATTCAGACACAGTTAAAAGTTGAGAAGGAATGGTAACCCATATTGAAAAAAAAGAGTTTATACTAGTAAAGCATCCAATCTTGAAAAGGCCTATATAAAAGGGAGGGGAGCGAGTTGTTTGGAAATGCCATATTGTTTTAAAACATAGTCATTAAATGTACCATTACCCCATCATAGGCTGGACTATTCTGGGTATAAATCATATCTGTTCTTCCCAAAATACTTATTATCAAGTGATAATAAGAAAGCGGGAAAATAACTTTTCATTGAAGAGTCACAATTCAGAATAATTTTCTTGTCCACTGAGTGATTTGCTTCAGGACATTTCCTGATTTTGGTGGTCTTCAGAATAAGATTGGGATTATCCAAGTGAGAATGAATGTGAAAAAAAATAATCACTCAATATATAAGAAATAAAATAAAAGAACAAAGAAACTCTTGGATATAATGAATAAAATGCATATAGGATTTTTAGGAAAGGAGAATCAGAAAGCAAAGAGGGGTAGCACTTACATTCGCATGTTGCTGGTCTTGTTGATAATTACAGATTTCCCAGTCTGATCCACAGTGTGATCCATGCCAAAGTAAGCCGCCCCTCTGTGCACCAGCATTTGCTGATATGATGACATCTGGGGGAACTTTTTATAATGATTACTGGAACAAAACGTCAAAAGGTTCAATATGATGCCGCCCTGACATGATGGAATAATAGCAGACCATTTTTTAAACATTTGTAAAATCATACGGACTTTATTCTGAATTCTCTGCTATTCATTTATTTCAACTCATTTTCCATTCATTCCAACAGTCAACATTTTATGTCAATTTTGGGTAGTTTGGGAAAATAGGGATAATTGTAAATTTAGTAATAAGAAGCCAAGCGAATGAATAACAGAAGTTTTGATTATATTTGAACGTATCTGAAAATTTGACTTTTGAAATTAATGGTAATCACAAACAAATGAAAAATTTGTTTTTGATATAATTTATTATGCCAAAGCACTTAAGGAAGTATAAAAGTTGTTGTCCTACTACAATTACACTTGGTAAGTAGATAGCCAGTTAGATAGGCAGGGCACTGGCCCTGGATTCTTTAGTAATTACACTGTAAATTCAAATCCAAATCTAGTAACAGTACAGATATTTGAAGGATTCTTTTGACTAATCCTTTGAACTTGCGCCAGAGAACCCAAAACATCTTGGTTCCAAAGTTCCAATGGTCATCACCTTCCCATAGTTACATGACTGGGGTACCCAACAACTGGTCTGCATTTAGAGCCATTTACAGCATTTTGTGGCCATGTGAATCTGATTTATGATATTTTTGCTGAAAACCATAATTTATTTCCAGTTTTCAGCAAATATTAAACAATGAGTTCACTTAATACTGCAGCAATTGATTGTTGATCATCCGTTGGCTTAACAACTGCTGTATAAAAGATTGTAAAATGAGACTGGTCAGATGATGAACCACTTTACAACTGTCACAACCTATGACTGTAATGGGCAGGCTCAATTATAATTATAAAGCTGAGGACTAGCTGTAATAAAGTCAACATATACTGATTAAGGAATATATAACATTTTCTTTACTGTACACTGATAGAATTGCTTTGAGAATATATTTCTGATATATTTCAAGCAAAAGATGTCACAAAACAAGAAATGAGTACTGAAAAAAACTTACCTCTCATCACTAATAAAATCAATGATTTCCTGCTCCATTTTTAATAATACCATTCTATCCCTGTTAATAAAAGAAAAATAAATGTTTAAGAATTGAATCTGAAGAAAAGAAAAATAGGCAGCAATGTCTGAAATATTTCTGATACTACACCAAAGAAATTCAAAGTCTGAATTCTATTTATAAGTAGTGCAAATATGTTCAAGTTTCTTTCCTAATGAAAGGATTCATTAAGTTTCCTATCCAAAGAAAGGAATGCAGGCCTAGTGTTCTTAGGATACATTGGAAAAAAGGATGTAGATTTTTTTTGTTCCTGAGTGAGGTATTTTACATAGATAGTAGTACATATTCTATTATCCTTGTAAAAAATAAGAGTGTCTAATAAGACACTAATCATCTTTTTTTTTTTTTATTTGATTTATATGCCGCCCTTCTCTGGAGACTCAGGGCAGCTTACAATGCGTTAAGCAATAGCCTTCATTCTTTTGTATATTTTATACAAAGTCAGCTTATTGCCCCCACAAACTGGGTCCTCATTTCACCTACCTTAGAAAGGATGGAAGGCTGAGTCAACCTTGAGCCTTGGAGAGATTCGAACCAGCAGAAATTGCAGGCAGCTGTGTTAATAACAGGGTGCACTAAACCACTGTACTATCAAAGCTCTTTCTTAATAATTATAATTTCTATCAACCCTCTGATTTCAGTATAGCTAAAAGTATGACATATCCCTTAGGCTGTACTGTTCAGAGAAGAGGATTATTGCTTGTTTTAAGACTGTTCTCCACAATTAAGTCTACTGTCATTATGTTCAAGTGTCAACATACAATCACAATGCACAAAATCTGGGTTTTGGGAGGTTAACAACAAAGACTATTTCCAATTGACTTAATCATTCCAGCCAACTGACATTGTTCACTGAAGAAACTAGGCTCAAAAATATTTTGGCAGCTTGGTTTAATGTCAAATGTCATGCAAAGATAAGAATAATTATATGAAATGCTTTTATGGGAATTTGGGCAACAGTTGAGATTAGAGATGCAAAAGGAAAGTTCCTACTCAACTAGTTACCCTTGATCTGTTTAATGACATTAATATTCTTCTTATGAAGATTTACTTGGCTCTAAGCATGCCTTTCTTCAGAAAAGATTTTTAAAAACTAGCTTTTCAAACAGACAAATGTCAGGATGATTTGTAACCCTATCAGGTGGATGATAGATAGTGGAATTTATCTGTAATCTTTTCCTTTATGTGCTATATCTCTATTTCATTTTATATTTATTTTTTAAATAATGCTTTGAATATGGATGCCACTATGAGTTTTTGGATTTGGCATTCAATGAAAAATAGTATACGATTCCATGAGTACTCTTCCATGAACAAAAGACCTATTCCATTTAGAAAAATGTTTCTTATGTAGTAAAAAAATCTTAAAATAGAGAAATGATTCCAAATCTGGAGACATTATTTCTATTCCTATAAAATTTATCATGAGTTCCCTCAAAGATTTATTTTCCACCAGAAGTTATAGGTTAACCCTAGATATTTCCTCTATGTTATTATTCATATTGTAACATAATTCCTGAATTAATGTACATTACATTACTATAAATTTTACTCTAACTTTTCCATGGAAATTTATTTATTTATTTTGCACTGTTATTTGCACTGAACTCTTCATGATTACTTTTATTTTCAGGATATTCACATAACATGGAAAAACATGAGAGTTTCTCATGAAAAAACTGGAAACTATCAAATATTGCATACACTGTGTATTGCAAGCTGGCTTCAGATCTTCCTCCAAGCACTGTGTTACAAAAATATAATTCAAAGAACAAAAGAGCCCTGATGAGAAGGAAGGTAAATGTTACAACACAAGAATTCTAATACACAGTTTTGTTTGACAAGAGACACATAACTGCTACTAACACAGTAAAATTCGTGTTCATTTTCTCCTGTTCTTTCTATCTAAGGTATAGGATGGCATCTCTTTTATGTCCAGCAGACAATTTTCAGTATTCAGATTTTGATAAGAGCTATTTTTTTCTGAAACAACTCTCACAGCTAGCTATATTTGACAAGCATTGCATATTTTTGAGCTACTTTTGTTTAGCAAGGCTGTTTGGGAATGCTATAGAAGTCTGTGTTTGTATCTGCCCTTATGTGTAAATATGCATGTAAATAGCCAAATTTTGACCAAGAATGGCCAAATTTTGATAAAAGTAGGTTACGCGCTTTATAGTACATACTTATGATGCAGGTTTTGCTAAAATAAATGTTCTATACCTATAAATTGCTAAGAACCAAGCTATGCAAAAAAGGGAGAGAGAAACTGGGACTTACCAGGGGTTATTCTTTAATGTGTTAACTAGAAATTCATGCAAATCTATGCCTGTTGAATCTGTATATTCTTGGCTGCAGTCTGAAAAAACATACATTACTAATAGTTTCATTTTTAAAAAAATGAAAATAATCTAGCCATCGTGTGGAATAAAGCTTCTTTCTCTCCATCTGTCCTCTGGGGTGCCTGATTTATGAAATTTGTATCTTACATTAATAACATTTTAATAGAACAGGTTCTTAATTATAAGCACCAAGCACAACTGAATATTTAATATACAGTATTATGCTTTTAAAAATAAATAAATTACAAACTGAAAATGATTGCATTCTGGAGATATCTGCATTTGCTTGAGCAAATGTAAAAGGAATGGGTAAATCAAGCCAAAATAGAAGATAGAATAACAAACAAAAGTAGCTTTGGATTTGTTTGCATATTATACTATTCCAAAACTGCTGGTATTCACTATTGGATTATTATTGACTAGGGGATGGAGAAACAAAACATGGAAGCTCTTTCCCTAATTTGTTCACTGGACAGTCATATCCCCATTCACCTTTCCCCACCACAACCATGAAAGCAGAAATTAAGAAGCTAGCTATATAGCATGATTCTATCTCCATATTGTTAGAAAAAGAAAACAAAGCTGATGATTTGACTACTTCAACAAACAAATCATGGAAAAAAATTCTGTATTGTAAGTGGAACCAAACATAAATGACAGTCATGGGCAATAGCATATAACTCACTTACTGCTAAACTACAAGCCTAGCTTTTTTTCAGGACCAATGCTCTGTGTATGTTATATGCATGCACATTTGGCTGTGTTTATCTGGTTGGATCTAAGATATATTAGAATAGCTAAAGAATTTCTACAAAAGTAGAATATCTAGAGAAATCAGTAGTTTCTACTTAGAAAAACACAGTGAATCACGAATATACAGTATATTAAAATAAAACAGCAATAGCTCTTAAATTTATATACTGCTTCACAGTGCTTTACAGTCCTCTCTAGGTGGTTTACAGAGTCAGCATATTTTCCCCAACAATCTGGGTCCTCATTTAATCGATCTCAGGAAGATGGAAATCTGAGTCAACCTTGAGCTGCTGAGAATCGAAGTGCCGAACTGCTGGTAGCCGGCAGTGAGCAGAATTAGTCTGCAATACTGCATTCTAACCAGAGTCACAACGCCTCTTAAGAACACTTAATTTATAGTTTAAGGTAAGTTGGTTGTACGTACACACACACACACAAAATAGAGTACTTTGATTCTGTCAATCAAATAAATTGATTTCATTTTCCTGGAATTATCTATGAAATGTGTATCCTTTGAGTAAATCCATAAAAAAATCCAGAATTTAGAACATAAGCATTATGTTTGAAACAGTTAAATATTTTGTATTCCAGATCTAGTTAGTTGTCATGAAAAAAAATGTTTGCATATCATAATAATATCCTAGAAGACAATGAGGTGACCAAATGTGCAGTAAATGACAAAAATGTGTATAGATTCTAATTAGTGATATAGTGATATTAGTGGCATACATTACTGCTACTGTAGAGATTCAGTGTATTTATTTAAATTGGACTGTCAGCACATTAGTGCTAGATTGAAATAAACATTTCATTCAGTTAGCCTATGAATGATACCATCATTTGTCAGGACTGGATATTTCAAGTACATAATTTTTTGTACTATTTATTTCTATGGCATTTTTATGCTGAAAGTTATCATAGTAATAGAACATGAATTTAAGCCATCAATAACATTCAAAATGAAAATATAATCATAAACTTTTTTAAAAATGAAGGTAAAATAAAATATTACGGACAAGGCAAATAAAGGGGCTGGGTTTTAACACATTTCTTTTTAATTGTAGCTATCACCACCCAATACACTTAGCTGAAAAGATAGCAAGTTCTGAATGAAGGACATTCCAAAAACTGGGATTTAAGTTTTTTTTTTTCTTGGATCATAAAAAGAAGTCACTACTGTGCACCTCAATCAGAGGATAAACTCACTGCAATTAGAACATTTTTAAGATAATCACCTCTACATATTTTTTTATATTTTACATATGTGACACAATTGTGTTGTGTAATATGTATGAAAAATTCTAAAAACGAGAAATAAATTGTCAAGAACGAAGTGGCAATGCTTCTGTTAAATAAGCGACAATACGTGCACAGCAAACTATTGTTGCATCATAATGTTCCTACGCTGGAGCACTTTCAATAATGGATAGAAAAGTCTACAAGCACAGGGTATAGGTTCCTCTAAACAGCAACTGTTAATGTGTATTTTTCCTTCGTTCCACACTGTCCCTGTCCTGCTTCCACTTCTCTTCTTAATATAAACTCTACTTATGGATTTTAGTATCAGGTTGAAAATATGTAGATAGAATATATAATGCATTGACTAACAAATAATACTTTCTATTATACTATCGCTAATGCAGCTGAACGATTTGCATATCATTTTTATGAAAAACATATGTTTTCAGTTTTGATGCTGCAATACAGCGGCATCTCTGTATGGTGGGAAAGAGAAGGAAGCTGATCTAAAAAACTTTTGGGAAAGATGAATGTATTCCTTAGAACAGAACAAATTCTTCCTCTTTATGTAATTATTTAAGTCTCTGTATATGGATGTATATTGTCAGAATTATTATTACTCTGAAAGTTTAAGATATCCTTTCAGCACATATTTTAGATGTAAAGAGAGTTGTAAAGAGAATTTGTTATATACCAATCATATATGTATTCTACAGTTAATATATAAACTATACATATACCACAATCCCACAAACAAGTACAGAATATAAAAAATACAAACTAATTCAAATACAGACAAAAGCAAATACAAACATTCAAAATGTCTCCATGTGTAAATGACTAAATAATACTTTTGTTCACCTTTTGATAACATTCTTATCTTGGTTTTTTCACTGTTTCTATCTTTTTCTTTGTTTTTATCCTTCTCTTTTTCTTTCTCAGAATCATCTTTACTAGATTTATCCTCTTCTCGTAGGTTGGGGAAACTTGAAAGCTGTAGCTGTATTGATTCCTGTTGAAAAAAATATAATAATTTAGGGCCAGATTCAGGAAAACTGGCATGGCTTCCCAAATGCATAGGAAAGTGCAAGCTTAGAAAAGCTGGAGCCAAACAGTATTTGATACACTTAATCTTAAGAAAATATAACATATTCTTAGGGATACTTTTTGGTTGGTTGGGTAGTATAGTATCACTGAGTATCATAATTTAGTCCATATTATTGAATATCAGAATTTAGTTAAAGAAAAATAATGTATAGCTCTTCATTTGTTTGCAGTACATCCCAATAGATTCAATAAGAATCATTTTAAATAAAATGCCAAATAAAAGCATAAAGACATTATTCCTAGGATGTTAACTATGAAATTATTTATATTAAAATTACACTGAAATCAGCAGAATTCATCTCAGTGAACATTGATTGAAAAATTTAATGGAAACATAAGACATTATTAAGTTTATTTAAAAATACAGTGGGACATTTTAAATGAAGTGTACTTAAAATTAGGAATGTAATAATCAGAACTTGACAATATTCATATGTATGGTTAATTTTATTTTATACTAGGAATTATTAATGTGCTGTTTCTTGAAAAAGGCCTATTTTATACCTTAAACTAATGTTGATAAATGAAAAAAAAATCCAAATTATGCCTAACTTTATTAATTAAAAAATTAAAATATAACATGATTGTATGCAGTGATCCTAAAGTTTTTTCAAATATTTAGCATGCTTCCATTTACATGTACTTTGGAGCGGTGTCACAGAAGCTCTGTGCTAATTTTATTTGTATTAGCAATGCTTGAAGATGTACTTGAAGTTGTACTAATTTGAACCCAAATGTGCTTTTTGCTAAGTAAATTAGTTTATGAGATGGTATAATCATTTACAAATATTTACAAATTTAATCTATGCTCAATGTTTTTTCTTTTGAAAATATTTTTTATATTATGACGTGGTGGGGAAAGGAAGAACTAAATGGTTTTGCTGCCTATGAAGACAATCCAATACATGACTGTAGGCTAAGATTAATTGAAAAGAGATTGATGGAACTTAATGGAAAAAGTTTTAATTGACTTTGACATCTTCAGTTGTTTATGCTGAAGTCAAAGTGATTCCTAAGTGCACTTGCTGTTTTACAAAAAAATAGGGGAAAAGACAGACTTTACAAATAGTTTAATACAAACATATAAGGATACTACATTGTATATATTCTATGTCATACATATAACATAACATCGCTATATAGTCTTTGCATTAGAAAAAAACACACAGGAAAGCTGCAGAGTCGTGGAAAAATCTGGTGTTTGTTTCTTATATTTGTTTTTTATTGATTTTTTTTCAATTCCAAAATTACAATGTTGATAAGTACATTCATACAAGTTAGGCGTAGCGAACACAAAATGTTGAATTGCAGTAGTACACTAATAAACCAATATAACATTAGAGGCAACATTCCTTTTAAAATAAGGACAGATTGTGAGATCAGGTAAACTTTTATGATGAAGTAATACAGGTAAACAAGATTTTTCCTACATATTTCAAGTTTATTAGATTTCTATACCATAGGAAAACCAAGGCAAATTTTCAAATATAATACAAACATCAGGTTTGTAGTACAATCCAAACTCTATAGTTCTGGCAATGTACCATACATTCTTTGATGACTTAGACTCTGTGCTTTGTAAACTAGCTAGGTAAACTAATAAGGAAAAATCCAACTTAACTTTAAAAACAATCCATTTCCATTGATATAACTCTTCCAGATTCCTTCAGTCAATGAAATGAATAGACTACTGATTTAGCTTTCCTATGCAAAATTCATCAGTTTTTAAACCAAGTAGTATATTTGTTAACTTATTATATGAAGCCAATTATCCTCAATATCCAGGCTTTGGTAGTAGAATATACTTAATCCTTGCATCCTTAACTTTTTGGGTGGCATGTCATGGTGAGTCAAACAGTAGTAAGGACCACAAGAAACAGCTTTGGGCCAATATAGAAAAGATGCTTGCTTCTAAACTTGCTAGTTTCTATAGAATATAACATTCTTTTTTTCATTTGTAGAGAAAACAGCAGAAACTGTCATGCAACGTTTAGTAAAATCTAATATATTTATATATTTCTCCTTTCAGATTCCATTTGAAATGATAGAAAATACAAATAAAATGCAGAACAAAAGCCATACATTTATAATAATGCAAGCTGAGCTAAATATTAGAATTGTTTTCAAAGTAACTACCCACAATTGATAAAAGAACCCATTGATTATTATACATTATTATGCATAAATATAATTTTAGAGCAGCAAGAGAATGTATAAAATCCTCACAGCTCATTAAGATTTGGGACAGTGAATTTTGGTCATTCAAAAAACAAACAAACATACAGAGAAAAAAAAACCTCTCCAGAGAAAAGTCCAGAGGAGAAGTAAATTTAAGTCATTTCAAGTTAATAAAGGAAACTTTTTAAAAAGTACACTTAACTGTGATTTGATTTTTGTGCTAACAGAAGTTTAACATTCATTTCCCCTTTCCTCTCCCTCCCTAGGGCTGATCTCATTCTTCAATTAATATCTGAATCTTCAAGTAAAAAATGTTGAGAAAAATAACTTTCTTTCAAGTAAGAAATAATTTCTTTTGGTTTCTGTGTTTGTTAAATTTATGTTTTTAAGCAAATAGAAATATAAGCATTTTGCAATAAGTGCTAAAAGAAAAATGGACAAGATTCTGAAATATATATATATATATATATATATATATATATATATATATATATATATATATATAATTCATACAATACTACTACAAACTCATAAAATACATATTTTGCAATATTGGAAGATTGGCTCCAGGAATCAGAAAAATAAACCATCTGGAATACAATGCACTTTTTTTATAGATTACTATTATTTGTAGGGTCAAAAATTGAGCTGTAACTATAAACTAAGACATGGGAAGCAATATGAAGATTTTGTATGACTTAGAAGCCAGAATGATTCAATCTTATATCTGGTGTATCCTTAAAAGAGATAGCCTTAGAGAAAATAACAATTGTAACTTTTTGAGGTGTTTTTTTTAAAATAATTAATCTGAATTCTTTTGAATTCCTTTCCATTTGTTGAAATTTTCAGGGGCTCTGGAAAAAAAGAGCAAATAACACCCTGTGATATACTGTTGATCTACTCATGTATATCAAAGAAATACACTAAAAACATTAAAAATAAAGTATGCTCATGTGAAAAGCCACTTTGATTTCCCCAAATTAAGAATTTCTTTTAAAAATATACACTGTTATCATGCACAGGAAAAGAAAAATTATTCATGCAGCTTAGAAAACTGTTTTAGATACCTGATTGCCAGTGTCCGGTTCAAGATGAGGAGATGATTCTTCACAAACAGCAAGGCTTCGTACCAGTTTCCCCTTTCCTCCTGACTGAAATAGAGAAGTTAAATAATTTCTAAACAAATAATATAATAGTATGTATGTATATTTGTATTTGTACATGCATGTATAGCTGATAAATGAGACTTTAGCAGTAAAAACTAAAAAAGAATAAGCTGGTGTGCAAAAATAAACTGCTCAGTTGCTCTAAGAATAATGGATGAATAATTGAAATTAGGATATCTGAAAAATAAATCAGTATTTTTGAAAAACTTGATTAAATTGCAATACAAACTTTCATCAAAATTTTGGATCTTCAAAACCATAATACTTATCTGCAACAAATTAATTGATATATTTATGTGGCTAAAATGAAATATCCCAGTCTTTAAAATAAGACAATATAGTTTGTTTCTTTTCATCTTTGAAAACTAGATATCTGTAAACATGAAAGCATCTATAAGTATGAAAGCATGAAGTTTGGCAAAAGAAGAAAAAATAAATGTAATTTTTCCCTTAAATAGCAGAAACACACAAATCAATTCATTAAAAGACCAAAAAACTGAACTGAGGCAAAAATTTAAAAAATAGCATTTGCAACCATAAATTAAATGAAAGTTATAAACTTTCATCACCAGCTGTGTGATGTAAATTTTCATCCAAGCACCTATCACAATTCTGAGCAACCAGACAAAAACTCTACCTTGGATCTCTTTTTCTGCTGGTTCTGGTTAGCACTTCGTAACTGTAAAAAGCAAGTGACAATACATTCAAATATATTAGTAGAAAATATGCATAATAGAAATAATGGCATTTCATATGGTAGCTATCAAATAATTTGCCCTTATCTCCGTCATTAATACTATTAAGGCATAAAGGTGTTTGTTTCTATGTTTATAAATTTCTTTATAAGGGTCCAGATTAAAGAAAAGCTTCTGCATCTAATTTTCATCCTATTTCTTTCTTGTTATGTATGGTAATACGTTAGTGAATATTAGCAAATCTTTCAGAAGCATTCACATACTAAAATTTGAAAATGAACAAAGGGTATCTAAAATTATAACATCTAATAAAATTAAAATGCCAATTCTTATTACCTGGTCTGATTTGCCATATTCTTCTTTTTCATCTACTTCTGAACTTTCTGTTTTATTAAGAATGCAATTCTCTGGTTGAGAGAGAGATGAATCTAGCTCATTTCCAGCTTCTAGTTTATCTTGCTCAGACATTCTCAGAGATTTAAAGAAAAAGTTTTGATGACCTAAAATGTCAAGTCATAAACAAACAATAGACAGGCAGAAATTTATATCACTTTATTCCCATTTTGTTGCATAATACAGCCCAACAGAATTCAATACAATTCACACAGTAAAGGACTGAAGAATTCTAGGTGAAGGCTAAAAAATTTAAAAATTAACAAATAGCTTAGATTAACTGAAGTAATAACAATAAAGAACAGAAAAATAAAGATGTTGCTATTTCTCTTTCCTCATCTTTCATTCTGCAGTTACAAAACTTACACATGTAGAAGAACAGTTTTACTAGGAAGATGTTACCATAAAGTAATAGTAACCTATGCTCTTAGGTGTGGCAGGGCAAGAAATATACATTTTTCTATTAGACAATCTCTTTTTAAAAAGAAAAGGAATCAGCACATACCTACCATTCAATCATTCATAAGTGCACACATATGAAAGAAAGAAAAAGCCTTGAAGAAATGATTCAATAAAAACATTAATTCTCCATTTGACATTAAAAATCTCATAGTCTTCACTGATAGGCATCAAACTGACAGCTCCGCTATAAAATTAAAAATCCGTTTTCAAACCCCATCTCATTCTCCCATACTGTTAAAATTCTCCCAGAAACTCTTGGCAGATGGCTCTCATGAAGATCTTAAAAAGAAAGGCTTTGCTCTCATTTCACAACAGTCATTTGTACAGAATCTCTGTAGTTTTTAAAATTAAAAATATTCATGAAATACTACTCTTACACTTCCATACTGATTGGTTGTCAAATATATCTAATGAATAATTTAGTATTTTTTGTTCTTCCCACCCACTATTTTAAAGAAAAAAATCATAAGAAAAAATATACTGGAGAAAGACAATAAATTCTTGACAAATTTTACTATTTGTCCTACTCTCTATATAATGATGGTTATTTGATAGATATAAATTTTGTTGTGTTTCTTTTGTAAACAGTAATTCATATTGAAGAGATGCCTCTAATCTTTGTTTTGGTTTATTTTAAAAGAAAATATATAGAATACAATGTGGTCAGAAATTCAGAAAACTGAGCATGGTTTTGTAAATGAACTAAGGAGTAAGAAGACTAAGAACACTCTTCCTTTCAAGGTTTGCAGTTCTCTTTGTATGAAAAGTGAGACAAATTAGCAATGAATGAAAATGTAAATTTATAACAATCAACAAGTCATCTTTATTAGCACATTGGGGTGTGTGTGGAATAATAACCTCTCTTTATAACTAATAAGCATTTATATCTGGAAATTAATATCTAGTTTCTTTCTTATAATTTTAAATAATTTTAAATATAAATTTAAATATAATTAGCATGAATTCTACAAATTGCATGATCTGGAATGTACATTCATGCAAAATCCACATGTATATTAATACAGGTACACATATAGACAAAATCTACTGCCATTAGGTAGATAACAAAGATGTGAATTACCTTCAATAATAACTCTTGATACCTTCCGTTCAGGTACTGTTGCTCCTCATTGGTTAAATCCACACAAGTGATCGATGATAATATGAATGCCATGACCCCATTAACAATTCAGGATGCCAGTTTCCATGCTGTTCCTTTATAGAAATTGAGAGAGCACTGTCATCAACCTGGCAAGAAAGGAAAAAAGGACAGAATAAAACCAATAATAAGAATTATAATCATAGTTAAAATTAAAAGAAATAAAATAAAATAATAAAATAAAGAGACCAGATTTCTAACCCTAATGACCAGCTTCAAGCAAATCACTTTCACAGCTTGATCCAGTTCCACCTGTCTCAAAAACTGCGTGCTTCTTCTCTAATGAAGGCTAGAGCAGGCTGTTCAACTCATAACAGCTCCTACGCATGGAGCTAAAATTAACAATTGTGGATTATGTGCCAAAGATTACTCATTTCAATTTTAACCTTTTTAGTAAATTCTAACACTTTATATGAAAAAAAATATTTTATGTTTGCTTCAATGGAAATCAATATTGTCCTTAAAGAAAAGAAGGATGTTGTCTGCCCTGTAAATGGAGCTACAAACTCAAATTGTTTTTAAAGAATAACAATAATACAAATGGCTGATTTAATAAGCTCAAAACACTGAAATAGTTCAAAGCAATTATAGTTATAAAATGGAAATTAGAAAGAATTTATAAGGATGTAAAGAAAAAAAAAAGATTACTGCAGAAAAGACAGAAATATCCTAGGTATTTGCTTGGCTAAAGTATGTGAGGGATTTAAAGGAAATTAAAAACATTAATAAAGTGTCACAATATCATGATTAGATTTTAGAGAATTTGATTTGGCAGTTGACTATTAACCCAGAGATGGGCAAGTCTTCTGGCAAATATGAGAACATAAATATAGCATTTGTAACTCCTTAAACCAAATGTATCTTTTCCCAGGAATTTGCAGCAGCATAATCTCAGGAAAAGAACAGCTGCTTTAAGGAATTGCAGACATATTCACTTCTGCTTGTACTCCAAACAATGTCCCAAAGGTGCTTTTCCAAAACCTTCTCTTGGATGAGAAGCAAAACATAGTCAAAGAAAAAAACAAAGTCTACTTGCCTTTGGGAAAAGCATCTTTGGGACAACTATGACCTGGATGAGAATCTCCATAGACATTTACACCAATGTTTGTTATACTGAATAAGAGATACTCCTATTAACAACTAAAATTGCCATTCTAGTTTTGAAAAAAATACATGGTGTATATTTATATAATGCTACTATGCCACTAATTGTAACTTTTTTTTCTTCAATTCAATCATTTCTTTGTGGGCACAACAAGGAAAACAATCTAAATATTTTACTAACCACTATATTAGAAGAATTTTAATAAAAATATGGGAAAAGGTGAAGAAATAAACTTATACCCAAGTTCCTAAATGGGTGGTCCCACTGGAGATGGTAACCTACCCAACGGTTTATAATATAAAAAGAAATTGGACCTACAACATCCTGATGGATGGAGGAGGGAACTTAATATCAAGAAAGGAACTCCAAGTAAAAGGAATAGATATAGATTGGTGGTCATATGCCCAAATTCAAGCTAAATTCAGAAAAAACAAACAAGAGTATGGTATTTACCAAACGACACAACCGTTAAGACTCCTTCTGGGTGTTGAAACAAAATTTATATCTAAGACCTATAATCTTTTGTTATCAAGTTATACAGCTGAGAAAATAGTAAAAGATACGATGATTGCCTGGGGAAGAAACTTAGGAAGACCGATGCAACTTGAAGAATGGCAGGGAATATGGAGCAGATCAATGAAATTGACATTATCAGCGGCATTTAAGGAGAACTTTTATAAAATGATCTATAGCCTCCTACCAGATAGGATAGCTAAAATGTTCCCTGGATCCTCGGATAAATGTTGGAAGTGCAATTTGGCCAGGGGTACTTTCTTTCACCAGTGGTGGACCTGCCCTCAGATCAGGAAATTTTGGGAAAAGATTCAAAAATGGTTGAACGAGATAATAGATGCAAGTTTCCCCCTAACTCCAGATTCTTACTTACTTGGAATCAAACTAAAAGACGTGGGCAAACAAGCCTGGCATTTATTCATCCATATTACAACAGCTGCGAGAATGGCACTTGCCCAACCTTGGAAAAATGTAAATACACCATCAGATCAATTTATAATAAACAAGATATTGAATTGTGCCGAACTGGACAAATTAATGTATATCCTAAGAGACAAAAAAGAATCCATCTATTACAGCAATTGGGAACCCTGGTATTTATGGTTAAGGAAGAGGACAAATATAGAATAAATAACATAGTATTAAATATATACTTAATTATAATGAGATAACGTTTAGTATTTAAAATAATCAACGCTAATTGAACAAAAGGATTTACCGGGATGTAACTATGAATAAGTATTTGGGGGTTCGATACGACCCCTGGTTAGTCCTTCTCTGTGGTTGTCTTTATGTGTTGTGTTGAATACCCATATATATTTGTTCAAAAATTACACTATATGTTTTTTTTATCTGTAAATAATTAATAAAGATCTATTTTAAAAAAAAAATCAATCATTTCTGACTCTCAGAAACTACCATGGCAAAGTTTTTTTCAGAAGTGGTTTGCCACATTGCCTCCTTCCAAGGACTGAGAGAAAGTGACTAGGCCAAGGTTACCCAGTTGGCTTCGTGCCCAAGACAGGACCAGAACTCACAATCTTCCATGCTGATGCCTTAACTGCTATAGCAAACTGGCTCTTAGTTGCAACTTATATTGTGAATTGCAGCATCCACTGTAAAATGCCTCAGGCATATTCAATATATAATATATTCTGATTTTCCCCTTTTTTAGATCTGGTGAGGCATAACATATTTCAATTTGAAACACTTGCTATTATACAAAAGCTGGTATAACTTTTTTTGCCAAGAGTTAAAATCAAATTGATGACATTTTCATACAAACACACATATCAAGAAATTAGTTCAAATTTCTCACTAAAGTAGAAGAGTGAAAATAATTGAATATTTGAAGAGCCTAGACAAGTTTCTGATTGAGTTTCCAATTATATAGTCAAATTGAATTAAATATGTGTGAATTAAATTAACTCTCTTGATTAATTCATAAAACCAGACTAGTGTTGCAATAACTTAAGAGCAGAAATGGTAAGTCATACTTTTATACTCAATTAGTAAACTCCAAAATTACCCATACATGATAACAAAAACTTAACTCAAATCAATAATAGTATATTTTGTGGAGATATGGTTTTATGAATCTTACCATAAGATTTTTTAAAAAGTCTATTCAACATGTCACAGAAAAGACATTAAATTATATGTAAAGCCTAGATTTTACAGCATTCCTGATTGTTTTTCTTTCCCACACTACTAATATAAGGGTCAATTAATTAATCAATAATATTTATTTGACCAGCAAAAATTTAAAACAAAATTAAAAAGGAAATAAATGCAACAAATGCCACCACGAGCGTCCCCGACACGAGTGACATCAAGCTGGCCATGCCCACCCTGGTCCCCGAGGTCAAACACAACCCTGATGCGGCCCTCAATGAAATCAAGTTTTACACCCCTGGTCTGTAAGATAGGCTTAATGTTCTGTTCCCAGAGCATCTGGCTTCTGGCTCCGCTGGGAACAGCAGTTAAACTCTAGCAAACAGGTTTTCATACAGATCATTTAAATGTAAATGTAAGTCTATAAACATAGACTTACAATCATGGTGAGTCATGGTGAGATTCATCCTTATTTCATAATCTGTACCATTTCCTAGTGTAAAATGATGGTAGATCTGCCCCCCTGTTCAGAAAGCATGCTTCTCTCCTCCGTGGCAATTCATAATGGCCGGGCTTTGTTCTACAACCCATGCAGAGCTCCTCAGTGGCCAATCAGACACACAGACATGGTCACATGTCATGGACTACATTTTCCATAATGCAATCTACATCTCCCACAATGCAATCTCTTAAGGAGACAGCTCTTAATTCTTAAGGTAACTAATTCACTATAATTCATTATCTGAAACAGCACACTCCCTGCCTGGAATTATAAAATTCCACTACTAACTATTTAACTGAGATAAACAAAGGCACAGCAGAAAACAATGAAATGTAACTATCTAATTGACTAAAGTAAATAAGGTTATAGCATCAAACAATGCAAACTTAACTATCTAATTGACTAAAATAAGCAAATTATATAATCAAACAATGGAAGCAGTGAGGTAGATACAAGGCATGCAAAGCTTGAGGTTCGATCTTGAAGTTCTTCAAGTTCTTCCTTCACAACAGTTCCAGGTCGGTGACTGGCCTGGTGTACAGCTGCTTGGTAGAAGTCAGGGGGGGGTCCCCTAGCCGGTCGATACAAACCGGTCCTATGATGGCCCATCCAAGTCCTGTCTTGAGGGCACATGCTGAGCCTTTGACCACTGCCTGGTGAGGGAAGGCTTCGGGGACGTCCACTCCCAACAGGAGCAGGATTTCGGCTTCGAGATCTAGGACAGGAAAGTGATTAGCAATGTGTCTCAAGTGAGGTATATTGCTTGCTACCTCTGGCATCACAATCTGGCTGTGATTATCTGGTAAAGAGTCTCATTCTAGCATGGTGGCAATGTGAATTTAGCACTCCCATCTATCGATTCTATGCAGAATCTGGTGGCTTTCCTCCCCACCATGCGCTGTAACCCAGTACATGTTGAAATTGTGAATTGCGTTTCTTCATTTTGAATGTCAAAGCGGTCAAAGAAAGCTGATTTGGCTAACGATTGATTGCTCTGCATGTCCACTATCACATACATTTTCACAACTTCTTCTAGGTGTCCAGACTTTAGCTAGGTAGATCTGGTGGCATGAGCAAGGGGATGGTCGGCCGACTGTGGAGCAGGAGTTGGTCATGGTGTCATCTCATGGTCTAGATGCAGGGCAGTTGGGTGCTGGTTGCTTTGACACAGGTAACAACTCATCTTTGCCGTGCAGGTTTTGGCTATGTGATCCTTAGATTCACAGCACTTGAAGCAAACTCTGTACTCTTTGATCAAATCCTTTCTTTCGTTCAGGGGTTTCAGGCGAAATTCTCTGCACCTGTTCAAGGTGTGCGAGGTCTTGTGCAGTGGACATAATAGATTTCCATTTGTTATCAGAGATTTATGTTGAACTCTCTTTGAAGGTTCCTCATCTGAGTTCCTTGTGGGCAAGGTGACAACCTCCGTGTTATGCACTGACACAGAGGTTTTTTCCCTCGCGGCCTGCGCTGAGCTCTTGATAGAACCAAGGTTTTTTTTTTTTTTTTTTTTTTAAATTTGATTTATATGCCGCCCTTCTCCGAAGACTCAGGGCGGCTTACAATGTGCTCAGCAATAGCCTTCATCCTTTTGTATATTTATACAAAGTCAGCTTATTGCCCCCACAAACTGGGTCCTCATTTCACCTACCTTAGAAAGGATGGAAGGCTGAGTCAACCTTGAGCCTTGGCGAGATTCGAACCCTGCAGTAATTGCAGGCAGCTGGTCTTAACAAGCTTAATAACAGGGTGCCTTAAGCCCCTGTACTACCAAGGCTCAATCAAGGTTTTTTATTTTATTTTATTTTATTTTATATTGGATTTCTATACCGCCCTTCTCCCTAAGGACTCAGGGCGGTGTACAGCCAGATTAAAAAAACATGCAGAACAAATATTAAAAACAATTAAAAGATATATAAATTTGGCCCAATTAAAACTCATTTACCAATTAAAAACGTTTAAAACATTTAAAAACAGTTAAAAATTTCATCTTAAGCCAGCCCGGCTTGTTTAAATAAATGGGTTTTAAGGGCGCGACGGAAGGCACTGAGGTCTTGGATTCTCCTTATCTCTGGGGGGAGCTGATTCCAGAGGGTGGGAGCCCCCACAGAGAAGGCTCTCCCCCTGGGGGTCACCAGCCTACATTGTCTGGCTGATGGCACCCCGAGGAGGCCCTCTCTGTGGGAGCGCACGGGTCGATGGGAGGTCGTTGGTAGCAGCAGGCGGTCTCGAAGATAGCTAGGCCCTATGCCATGGAGCGCTTTAAAGGTGATAACCAACACCTTGAAGCGCACCCGGAAGACAACTGGGAGCCAGTGCAGCTCGCGCAGGAGCGGTGTTACATGGGAGCGCCATGCTGCTCCCGTCACTACCCGCGCTGCTGCGTTCTGGACCAGCTGGAGCCTCCGGGTGCTCCTCAAGGGGAGCCCCATGTAGAGAGCGTTGCAATAGTCAAGGCGAGAGGTGACGAGGGCGTGAGTGACTGTGCACAGGGAATCCCGATCAAGAAAGGGCCGCAACTGGCGAATCAGGCGAACCTGACAAAAGGTCCCCCTGGTTACAGCCGTCAGATGTTCCTCCAAGGACAGCTGCATATCCAGGAGGCCTCCCAGATTGCGAGCCCTCTCTGTGGGGGCCAATGACTCGCCCCCAATAGTCAGTGATGGAGTCAACTGACTATATCGGGATGCCGGGAGCCACAGCCACTCAGTCTTGGAAGGGTTGAGCTTGAGCCTGTTCCTCCCCATCCAGACCCGTACAGCCTCCAGGCACTGGGACATCACTTCAAGGGCATCGTTGGGGTGGCCTGGGGTGGAGATGTACAGCTGGGTGTCATCAGCGTACTGGTGGTATCTCACCCCAAAGCCACGGATGATCTCACCCAGCGGCTTCACATAAATGTTGAACAGAAGGGGCGAGAGGACCGATCCCTGCGGCACTCCACAAATGAGAGGCCTCGAGGTCGACCTCTGCCCCCCTGCCAACACAAACTGCGACCGGTCGGAGAGAAAGGAGGAGAACCACCGCAACACGGTGCCTCCCACCCCCAACTCTTCCAGCCGGTGCAGCATGATACCATGGTCGATGGTATCAAAAGCCGCTGAGAGGTCTAACAGGACCAGAACAGAGGAACAACCCCTGTCCCGAGCCCTCCAGAGATCATCAACCAACGCGACCAATGCCGTTTCTGTGCTGTGCCCAGACCTGAAACCCGACTGGAACGGATCTAGATAAGATGTTTCCTCCAGGAATTGCGGAAACTGTCGTGCGACCACACTCTCAACAACCTTCGCCATAAAGCGAAGGTTGGAGACAGGACGATAGTTGGCCAATATTGCCGGATC